GATGAGTGTGACATCGGGATGAGCTTATATCTTTAAAAACTTCAATAGTTAAGAAAGTACAGTGCAATTTAACATAATTAAGAAATGACCTTGTATCTTGTAAACTATTGATATTTTTAAAGATATAAGCTCATCCCGATGTCACACTCATCGAGACCTTTCATTTGAGTACCCACATCAATTTTTCATATATTTTATATATTTATATTATATATTATATATATGTATAGATGAAAAATATATCAAAATAGCATGTGGGTACTCAAATGAAAGGTCTCGATGAGTGTAATGTCAGGGTGAGCTTATATCTTTAAACACGTCAATAGTTAAGAAAGTACAGTGCAATTAAACAAAAGTCATTATTTAAGGAAGTCCTTTCGCTCCAGTTGAGTCGAAAAAATTGTAGTAGTAGTTCACTTAAGTGAACTATTCGTTTGTTAATCTATCAAAATTAATGTCAATATTTTTTTATCATAATAGATATTGATATTCTTTTGTCAAAAAACCAAAATTTATTTACAAACAATTCTTGAGCCAAGAAATTTTTTTCTGTACAAAATTTTTTTTTCTTAGTGTAGATAAAAAAAAATAATATATTTATCACTGATAAAGTTATATTTACAGGTGAAGAAATATTTTTCTTATCACCGAGTTTAATTGCCAGATCACTTATATAGGCTGTAATACTGACTTTAATTGGTATATTGTTTTATCACAGAATTTACTAAAGTACCTAGAGCTAAGCGGCCTAATTATTCTTTGATGGACAGTATATTGAACACGTGGTCAGAGAACACACTAAATGTTCTCCCTCTACTTTTTTTTCTGTCGCATTTTTCTTCTGAGCCGAGCACGTGTGGAAGAAGGACCTAGCGTGTTTTACGCTATATAATACTATAGCATAAATATAAAGACTAACGCGTCGATGAGTAAGTAAGTGGTACCGATACTAGCAACAATAATAAACTGAATAGAAGCGGCAGGAAAAAGTCGATCGAATACGTGCATTACGTATTTGTAGAACTGACGTTATTATCGATTAAACAAATAACTTGGAAACGTTAAAAAATAAGTCTTGATATGGCTGATAGTCTGGTAAACCTCGACATGGACGCCTGTTTCTCAGCTTTCGATAGGGACGCCGATGGGTTCCTATCGATCGAAGAATTTGAATTAATATGCCGGGCACTTTTTCGCAATGATCGAGGTAAAATTTACGGAGTTGAAGATTATCAACTGCGGGAAATATTTGATATTTTTGATACTAAAAAAGACGGCGTAATTGATCGTGATGAATTTGAGGTAAATTATTTTATTAATTTATATTGTATAGTTGTATAGTTGTAAACTTTTGGTTATTCAATAAGTCTTTTTTTATTTAATTATATCTACGGATATGTAGAGTTACATAAAGTTGTGACGCCGGTACATCCGGTCAGGGACATTATATTATTCTAAGTTATATTTTTCTTCTTTATTTATTTTTTTTTTTTTACGAGTCAATAGTCAATTAATTTAATTGTCTTTTATGGTTTCAGGTCTGCTGGAATAGGTGGATTAAAATTTGCACGAGACCTAGGAGTGCCTTTTTGATTGTTGATGTACAAAACGATTTTATAACAGGGTCATTGAATATAAAACATTGTGCTGCACAACAAGATGGTTCGGAAGTTATCGAACCAATAAATCGTCTTCTTGATACAGTGCCTTTTGATTCTGTTTTTTATTCATTAGATTGGCATCCTGTTGATCATGTATCATTTATTGATAATTTACATTTAAGGTAAATTTAATAATAATAATAACTTTATTTTGTTAAATTGCACTGTACTTTCTTAATTATTGACATTTTTAAAGATATAAGCTCATCTTGGTGTTACACTCATCAAGAGCTTTCATTTGAATACCCACATGCATTTTTGATATATTTTTCATATATACATATATATATAATAGATATAAATATATAAAATATATGATAAATTGATGTGGGTACTCGAATGAAAGGTCTTGATGAGTGTAATGTCGGGATGAGCTTATATCTTTAAAAATGTCAATATTCCATAAGATACAAGGTCATTTCTTAATTATAGATTTAGAGATAGACTATCTTGAGCATAAAATTTTTCTTATCATCTTAATAATATAGATAGTAGTAATAACAATATTAATTATTTTTACAGAGACGTTGATGAATCAAGTCCAATTCCTAAAGAAAGCGCAAAAGTATATGACACAGTAACATTTAAAGGTCCACTTGGTCTAAAACAACGATTGTGGCCTCGCCACTGTGTCCAGGATTCTTGGGGCGCAGAACTTCACAAAGATTTAAAAATAGTCGATAAAGCTATTAAAATTTATAAAGGAACAAATCCGGAAGTTGATTCATACTCAGTTTTTTGGGATAACAAAAAACTTACAACGACAACGTTATCAAGTCAACTGCAAGATAAGGGAGCTACTGACATTTATATCTGTGGACTTGCTTATGATGTTTGCGTAGGAGCTACCGCCGTCGACGCGCTCACCAGCGGATATCGCACAATCCTGATCGACGACTGTAGCCGTGGGGTTGACCTCGTCGACATTGAAAAAACCAAGTCGATGGTGATCGCTAGCAACGGTGTGATCGTTAACTCGAGTCAAGTAAAGGCCATGGTAGAAGGCCGCGATCGCAGGCCTGAGCTCGGATACAAATTAGCACTTGAAATAAAACAGTTCTTTAAGGAAACAATTAATGATAAAGAAAAATAATTAATTGTTTCTCAAGGTTTAGATAAATAAATTTAGCATTTAATGCGGAGTACATAATGCTTTATATTATTTAAAATTTATTTATTTTAAGACAAAACAGTCTGTAAATAATATTTAAGGTAAAATATCCAGTTATTGACACTTGCAATTTTATTCTAATTAAAAAAAGAATATTTTCCTAAAACTAATAATCTTAAAATTTATTATTAAAAAATGACCTTGTATCTTGTAAACTATTGACATTTTTAAAGATATAAACTCATCCCGATGTTACATTCATCAAGACCTTTCATTTGAGTACCCACATCAATTTTTCATATATTTTATATATTTATATATATTATGTATATGTATATATGAAAAATATATCAAAAATGCATATGGGTACCCAAATGAAAGCTCTTGATTAATGTAGCATCGGGATGAGCTTATATCTTTAAAAATGTCAATAGTTATAAAAGTACAGTGCAATTTAACATAATTAAGAAACTACCTTGTATCATGTGAACTATTGATATTTTTAAAGATATAAGCTCATCCCGATGTTACACTCATCAATACCTTTCATTTGAGTACCCACATCAATTTTTTATATATTTATATATATTATATATATGTATATATGAAAAATATATGAAAATGCATGTGGGTACTCAAATGAAAGCTCTTGACGAGTGTAACATCGAAATGAGTTTATATTTTTAAAAAAGTCAATTATTAAAAAAGTACAGTGAAATTTACCAAAAGTCATTATTTAATAAAGCAAAATTTTGTTTCTTCATAATTCACAAGTCACGGTTGTCACATAGTGACTACAAGGTTGTTAGTATTTATTAATTTTTGTTTTTAATTAAACTAAAATTACAAGTGTGTCAATAACTGGATTTTTCACCTTACGATTTTTTTTCAAAACTTTGTTAATATTTTCATGCTGTTGAAATCCGTGTCTACCATTGCACCTTATTATGTCATGCAGTTGTTATTAATTACTGTAAGAATTAAAAAAAAATAAAACGTATTATCATGTAAAATGATATTGTTATTTTGCATACGTTCTTTTTTTTTTATTTTTTTGTTTTTAGTTGTAAACATTATTTGTATCGTATTACACGTGGTTAGAGTTAAGCGTATGTATTTATACATCAAAACGTTTTATGTTACACTTACAGGCAAAATAATAATACAAGTAAGTGCAAAAAAATAGAAAATAGGAGCGAAGCATGCGTAGCAGGTACATTTTTATTGTATGCTCCGTCGCGACTCTCGTATCCGTCGTAACGTTGACGTCATAGACGTTAGTCGTACCGTCCGGTTACGTTGTTTAGTTGCACTTGTGAGGGATTTGTGCCCACTGCAACTGTAAGTTTAATTAATTAAACCCTTTTAATTTTTAAGTATAACTATTTCTTATTTCTTCCCTAAAATAATTGCTTAATAATTAATTAATTTAATTATAAATAGACTAAAGCTAAATATTTAAATCTATCTGACCTTTATAGGTAATTTAAAAATCTATTTTTTTTATATGTTATCTATAATTTAATTAAAAATTACCTGGGTTATATTAAAGCTTAATATAATTAGTTAATTGTGTAATTAAAATTTTTTATTTTGGAAATTTCTTTCATTTATAAAGTCAGTGCTGCATGACTGCATTAAATCGATAAGTAAATGTATACATTGAAATATCAATTAAGGGTTGATTAATATTGAGTTACTTTTTTATAATAATGATTATATTTTTTTGTTGCAGTAAAAAGCACTTCCAACATGCTAGAGTGGGCCTACGACGGTGTAAATAGTTCTATTCCTCGAAACAGAGGACCAGAATGTGTTGGGTACTTATCACCAACTTACAGATTTATAGAAACCCTTGGTGTGTCCATGCTGACTATTTTCTTGATGGTAAAAGGATATAAAAGTATAAGTCTGCCTAAAAATGTTAAGTATGTTAATCAAGACAGGACGGGGAAGAAAGTATTGTTAATTATAATGTCAATGGTACTTGGCTGTGAGATTGGTTTCAAGATAACCAGTCGTACTCTTGTTTATATATTAAATCCTTGTCATATTACAACGGCAATACAATTATATTTATTGGCTGCTAAACCTAGTCCCATGGTCACTGCGCTATTTAGGATACAAATGAACCTCATGAATGGGCCTATACTTGCGTATTTGTTTCCTGAAACTGAATCTCGTAAAGTAAGTTATTATTTTTGTAAATAATTTTATTTTAATTTTAAGGAAACAAAATTCGTAATATGGTACTGGAAAATATAAAAATTAAGTTAGCCGACATCTGAAAATTTTTATTATTTTTTTTATTGATAACATTATAAAAAAAAAAAATTTTTAAAAATGTCATTTGTAAAAAACTTGGAAAACTATCAGTTCAATTTAAAAAAAAAATTTTTTTTTGTTATAATTTAATTAATTAAATTTGTTAATTTATAAATTCATTTATTATTGTCAAATTAATTAAATTTGTCGTTAAGTTTAATTTAATAGATAAAAAAAAATTTTTTTAGTTAAAAATGAATTTTTTTGTAATAATTTATGTAATAAAAAAAATTCTAAAAATTTTTAGATGTCGGCTAACTTAATTTCCATAAAAAATGATACTTAAATTAGCAGATATCTGATAGTTTTAGGAATTTTTATAACCAATCAATTATTATAAAAAATCTATTTTAAGAAATTTGCTCTTTTAATTTTTTTGTCATTTCTACATGTGGAATTTTTTTGCTAAATTTTTTTCATTACAATTTAATTGTTATAAAAATCTAAAAAAATTTAGACGTGTATTAAATTTAGTGTTATAAAAAAACTTGATAAAAATTATAGTTTTAATAATAAATTGGCTTTTTGAACTAAAAAGATTAAAGTTTATAGCCGATACTATTATTAGAATTTATAATTTTTATTGTTAATTTTTTTTTTTTAATTTTTAGAAACCAATTAAAGTAGAGAAAAATTTTTAAAAATACTTACAAAGTATTTTATGAACCTTTAGATATATTATCAGATGCATAAAACCAAAAATTTAATAAATTTTGTTTCAGCTTTTCGCTGATAAGGCAATGTACTACTTACAACACGGCCTAATGTTAGTAATTCCATACTATTTAACGCGGATTGGTGGAGTTTATAGCGTCGAACCATTATCAGATTTTAATTGGAGTGTTCTTGCGTACGGATGTAATCTTGCTTATCACTGGTGGATCTTACAACTGGCTGCTTTGGTAAATATAATTAATTGATAAGACCTTCAAAAATATAAACAACTAATTTCTCTAATTTTTACAATAATAATAATAATAATAATAATTTTATTTTACCTAAAAATAGCCCGTACAAGTTAATCTGAGCCATATCTTGTGTCCAGCGATGTTGGATCCATTTGAAGGAAGATTCTATCGACTGTGTGCAGTTGTTCATGAAGGCTTATTGTGCCCACTGCTTGCGAAGCTTCTTCACTTAATTTTTAATTATTTCCTCACGGTGTTTCCAGTGACTAAAGTCAAGTCTTGCATCAATCACACCATCGAGCATAAGTTTCCACAAAGCGAGTGCAGTGATGAAGACTCGAACTCAAAAGAGCGTAAAAATGGAGATTTACATGTCGAATAGTTGCTAATTAACGATCTCTAATCAAGATCTCAGCTATCAAGTATAAATATATAAATATGAACATAAAAAATGTCAATGAATGAAAAATTTCTGTGATCACATGATTAGAATGTCTAATTAAGATAGGACTAATATATAAACATCTACATCAACTCATAAAAAATTGATATTAAGCTCATTATTTTTGTTAATAGTATATTCTAATATTATAAATAATTAATAATAATTAGAGGTGATGAGTTATAATCAACTTAGCATGATGAAAGGTGAATGTGATAAATGAAATATAATTATTTTGATTACATATCGCTTAGCCGCGATAATTGAGTACATGAATTAAAATGATAAATAAAGTAAAACGATTGGATGTTTTTACGCAGTATATTTGATAAAATTGTGTGACAAGTTACAAGTCTGTAATATAATAATACAAATTCTTTTTTTTGATTGGTTTAAAATGGATTTGGAGTTTTTATTAAAATTCCAAAATTTAAGGGGTTACATGGGTTTCCTCCGGGAAAAAATGGCCTATTTTCAATCATTTTTTTTTAATAAAAAAAATGAAATATTTTATTCAAACTTTTTACTGTCTTAAAGATACATGTTGAATAAGGGATTATTTAAATTAAAAAACTCTGCTAATATGATCAGCAGAACTCCTAGTAGGATTATTAAGTGAAAAAAAAAATATGTGCTATTAAGACTTCAAACTAAGTCTTGAACGAAGGAAAAAAAAAAAAAATTGGATTTTTGGCAGAGATTTTTACAAAACACTTAAAAATTTTTGAAAATTAAATTAGCCGACATTCAAAAATTTTTAGAATTTTTTTTTATTGGAAAAATGATTACAAAAAAATAAAAAAAAAATTTTCACTTGTAAGAAACTTTAAAAACTGTAAGTGCAATTTTTAAAAAATATTTTTTTATTCTAATTTAATTATTGAAAAATAATCAAAAAATTAAAAGTGTTGGCTAACTTTAGTATTATAAAAATTTGGCTAAAATTTCGCGGCATTTTTTTTTTAAATAGTTGTAATTGAAAAAAAAAAATCCTTCGTTCAAGACCTTGTAAATTATATCTCGAAGACCTGTCTAAAATTTCATCAAGATCGGTTGAGTAGTTCTCGAGAAATCTTGACAACCGTCTTTAAAAACAGTTTTGAGAAAAACGCGTTTAAAGTTTTGAGTGAAAATACAACAGCACATTGAGCGCGCAACTTTTTAAAACAGTATCTCCAAAACTATTATCCAGATTGATTTGAAACTTTAGGACAATATTCTAGAGATGTTGTAGAATTTAATAAAACATTAAAAAAATTTTTTAAAACCGTGAAACCCATGTAACCCCTTGATTACGCATGGCCGAGCTTTATTAATCGTTAACTGTTAAATAATAATATTTTTCCGTCTTTTATTGGACGCTAGCGTAAAAATATTCAACTATTAAAAAATTACCAACAATCTAATTGCACGTGTACAAACAATACCCACTTAATGATAAATAATCGCAATAAAATAAAAATTAATTTATTTAAGTAATTGTCTTTTTAATTTAACTTGTTGCTTTAAATCCTAAATTGTTTTCTTTATTTTTTATTTATATTTTCATTATTATTTTCGTTAATTTTCTTTTAAAGCCATGTAAAAATAATCTGTATGAAATGACATTTACTTTGTTCAATATTCATGGAAGCTATATACACTACTTTGTACAAAACTTACTAAACTACATAATTTTATATGTAGATTAATAAATATTTACATGGAAATCTTTAGTAAGTACTTTAATTAGTTTCTTTTTTTTTTTTTTTTTTTTGTATGCGATCGATTGTTTGTTACTTTAGACATTAATAGACTTATTAGTATAAAGACTCAAAAACAATTGTAATGTACAATTGTAATTAAATATTGCAGCAGCAAAAACAAATTTATCCTTAATCACATTATTTGTGATGTGATAGGAATAGTTTGGCATTATTACGGAAAACAATTCAACTATTTGATTGGAGTATTGTATAAAATAAATAAACTATTTACAAAGTTAAATAAATAAATAAATACTTAGGACGTAATGAGTAACAGCAGTCACATTTTTGTACAATAATCGTAGATAAACGATTAATATAAATAGGAAAAATTACTCCTTTCCAAAAAATTTTTTATATCTAATATACAAACCAAAACGAAGTAATTTAAATGAGTATTTTAATGACTTTTTAATAGTATTGCTAAAATTAAGGTCTCGATGAGCAACGACATACGGTTCGATGATAATCACTTTGTTTATAACCATCTGAGTCACTGGGTATCACAATTTGTTATAAACACTGTGGATCTTGTTAATTAACTGTGATAATGGCAATGGCAATAATTAAATTTAAATGTACATGTTTCTTGTAATTAGCCATCGAGAGGTGGACCTAAGTACACCATTGATACTTCAGTATTACCGTACACCGCAGAAACAGCTGGGAATAGTTTTTTATCTGGTAATCCGCGGAATGCGACACCGAGAAACTCATAGTTTTTTTCAAATGACAATGTATTGTCGTCACAATCAAGTATTACCCGGATTCTTTCGCCAACCTAAAGTATATTATTTTAATGTTAGTATTGTTATAAAAGCTTTTATTTTTAATAAGATGTTTCGTTTCTAAATTTTTATAAAAATTTAATTTTTATTATTAACCTTCGGTCTTTCATTTAAAAAATTTACTAAGTTAAAATTATTAAGATGTTGAAATCAATATTAAAATTAATTTAGCATGAAAATTAGGACATATTTAATAATTTTTAAAATTTTATAACAAATAAATTATGGCAAAAAAAAAAATTGACGTATAATTTTAAAAAAATTAAAAGTGCAATTTTTTAATGATAATTTTAAGGAACAAATTTTTTTATTAAACAAAATTAAAAAATTATCAAGTGACTGCTACCTAACTTTAATGTCACCTTAAATTTTTTTAAGTTTTATAACAATAAAATTATTATAAAAAAAATTTAGAAAAAAAATATGACATGTTAAAATTTTAAGTGCGAATATTATAGAAAATATTTTTTTCAATCAAAATTGATTTGTTATAAAAATTTAAAAAAGTCTGCTGATTTTAATATTATGAATTATTTTATTTAATGAATAAAATTCTATTTTAGATTTTTAGTTTCATTATGGTCAATAACTATGAAAATATTAGTTAAAAAAATTAAAAAACGAAACACCTTAAATATTACACAAGTACCTGATATTTTGGAGCATTATTAAGCAACGGATAATTTCCCTGCGCATCACCATTATGTAAAAGGTGATTGTCAACGAGGTTCCACCCCCAAGAATGTTCATCAGAGCCCAATAAAGCTACGTAACCATGGCAAATAAGCGATGCTTCTTTAGTAGCAATGCCTATTACAGCGACAGTACCAAGTGGACCTTCCCAAATAACTTCCCAAGCATGACGTCCATGTCGGAACCCGATTTTTCCACGACATCCATCCGTACTCTGAGCCACTGGGTTCCTGAAATTAAACCATCAATTAGATTATCGAATTAATCTATAAATTAAATGAAAATTAATTTAGCAGATATTTAATAATTTTAAGAATTTTTTTAACAAATAAATGATGGCAAAAAAAGTAGAATAAAAATTAACATGTAGAAATTAAAAAAAAATAAAAATACAATTTTTTATAAATAATTTTTTTGTTATATAAATAAAATTAAAAAACGATCAAGTGACTGCTAACTTTAATGTCATATAAATTACCAACAAAATAATAATATGATCATTTTAATGTAGTACATATTTAATAATTGAAAAAATTTTATAACAAATAAATTACGGCAAAAAAAAAAAAAATAGACATTGAGAAAATTAAAAAAATAAAAAATAATGTAGTACATATTTAATAATTGAAAAAATTTTATAACAAATAAATTACGGCAAAAAAAAAAATAGACATTGAGAAAATTAAAAAAATAAAAAATGGAATTTTTTAAAAATAATTTTTTTGTTAAATAATGACATTAAAGTTAGCAGTCACTAGATAATTTTTTAATTTTTTTTAACAAAAAATTTGCTCCAAAAAAATTATTTTTAAAAAATTACATTTTTAATTTTTTAAAAATTTCTACATGTCAATTTTTTTTGCCATAATTTATTTGTTAAAAAAAATTATTAAATGTCTGCTAAATTTCTTATCATTGTTAAATAAAATAAAAAAATTGTCAAGTGACAGCTAACTAGAATGTCATAATAATAACAATAAAATAATTTTACCTGTGTAAAGTAAATCCACTGGGTTTGATAAAAACATTTCTCGAACAGTCATTTGGATTCCAGGCATGATAAAGTGCTCGTAATTTATCTTTGTAAGTAGGTACAGATGACAATAATTCAGAGCTAAGTGCCTCTTGGGCCAATTTTCTAATGCAGTGCATCCGCCAAATTTCATTGTTTTCATCGTTTAAAAATCTATACCACGCTTTACAAACTAATAAACAATTTCTAATGGTATTTAAATCTAGATATGAAAATATTATTTCTAATACATGGTCAGATAGCCTGAGAACTATATCGTCCATTTTTAATGCTGTCAATTATTTAAACTGATCAAGACAAAAACTGTCATAGACGCCGGCGTGAACACACACAACACACAATCTTGATATCAATCAGCAATCAGCTGTTGGATTATTTTTCTTCAAGGCCCGTCTCTATTTTCATTTTTTCGACAACCTAACCCTCAATTTGCGACGGTAATTTTTAAAAACTGGATCCCAAACAGCCAATCAGAATCCTCCACCCCAAAAATAAGTTTTCTCTTTCGCTCACAAGAGGGCACTTGAGAAGCATTAATCGAAAAATAACGATCAATTTTCCCAGCTGAGTGTCCGAGTAGTCAAGGACTGAAATAATCGAGTATGGAACACGTCTCAGCGCGCGCATCTAGATTATACATGTATATTTAATGTAAGGATAAAAACAAGGACACAGTGCTAAGTGTCAATAAGTTAGAGTGAGAAAAAAGTGAAATACCACGTGATATAATTTCAACCAACCAGCTGTTTAGCTTTGTCCTGCCGCCAAGCTTATCCCCAGGTCTAGTTGCACGCAGAAGCTACGATTTCCCTGTTGCCTCATCGTAAAAAATGTTTAACTACTTTTAACAAGGATGAGCTTATTGGTATAATAAATAAGTTAATAAATATTTATTACTTAGATTATTAACTGTCTAATAATAGTTATTATTTATTATTATTTAGTGTTTGAAAATGGTACTTTAACAAATGTCGCCATTTTGGTGATACCGTGAGTTAGTAAGTGCGGTAGTATAATTTATATTTTTAATAATTATATTTATTTCAGTTATACATTTGGATACATTAAGTATATTGTTACGTGGTATTAATATCAGTGATGACACAGCAAAATAAAACAATGAATTTTTATATACAAGACGCTAATGGTAAGTCATACAAATGCCCGCCAATACTTCACACATGTATGCCTATTTTACACTCAACTTTTATTCCGTTATTAAATATCTTAATAATTTTATTTATTTACAAATTATTTTTTTTTACACTCTACAATTAATCTACTTTCTATATCAGCAATCGCTGTAAAATAATCTACAGTAATTATTGTATTAAAAAATTTTTTGCCAACTCAATTCCTCAATTTTATCCCAAGACAATGTGGACATATTTTATCCTAATTGTTACAATGCTTCAATAGATATTAATTATTTTATTTACCATTACAATTATTTAAATATTAATTTATCCAATATTGTGGAATTGAAGTATGGTATTAATTTATTTAAAGTAAAATAAATGCTGCGGTTAATTTATTTCAGCAGTTGATTTTTCTTTAGATTATTATCTTTTATTCGTAATGTATTTATTTATTTATTTAGCTGTTTATTATTTATTAAACAGGGCACCCGCAATTTATTAAGGTAGTACAGAGTACTCCTAATAAAGGTGCATTGACTAGCATAGTGGGAGCCACTAATACAAGTGGGATCAAAGTATTTAAGACACCTGGTCAAGACCCACAGGTTTTACAACCGGGAACACAAGTATTGAGGACCATCAGTTTGCAGAGTCAATCAACACCTGGTCAAAGTATGTTTTTTTTTTTTTTTTTTTTTTTTATTGTCAACAAATATCTACTGCTAATTACTATTTTTAAAATTATTTTATTTTTAACACTGATTAATTAGGACTGGTGACAATTCCGCTGCAAGGTACTAAAATGACAGCAGTAAAAAGTGGAGACTCTCAAGGTTCTAAGACTATCCAGTTAACGTCTGCTCAAATGGTTTGTTTTATTTTTATTTTTAATAAAGATAACCTATATGACTGCATACTTTGTAGTACGTAGCACAATTTACGATTACGACAGCTATTATATGTACATGTATTTTTTTTTTTGTAGAGCACTTTAAAACAGAATGTTATGGCACATTCAGGCGGTGGTCAACAAATAATAAAAGATGCATCTGGAAAAACATTTGTCACTCCGTTACTTGATCATTCTACTAATCGGAAGCGTTATGACGCTGATGGTCATGATTACGTGCCACAGTAATATATTTATTTATTTATTATTTTATTTATTTTATACTGAAGCCCAACAACTTTTGCCATTAACAGGGCCACTAAAAATAATTGTAATTACAGTAAATTATACATAAAAAGATTTTTTTATATTTAAGAAATATTTCTTAAATACTAAGAAATCCTTCTATCATTATAATGATTATATTATGTTAATTAAATTAAAATTAATTTAGCAGACATTTGATAATTTTGATTAAATTTATTTATAATAATTTTTAATAATTAATTATTTATATAAATTTATTTATCAATAATTAATTAATCTTTTTTTTGCTCTATTTATTTATCAACTGTACTATAAAATTTAAATTTCATTTTAGCAAACGAAGAAAATCTGAAAAAGTTGGTAAAGGTCTCCGACACTTTTCCATGAAAGTTTGTGAAAAAGTAAAGAAAAAAGGCACGACGTCTTACAATGAAGTAGCAGATGAACTTGTTGGTGAGTTCACGAATCCAGCACACATGAATTCAATAACTGATCAGCAGTACGATCAAAAGAACATCAGACGACGAGTCTACGACGCGCTTAATGTTTTGATGGCTATGAACATTATTTCTAAAGAAAAGAAAGAAATCAGATGGTTGGGACTGCCGACGAATTCACTCCAAGAGTGTGTCTCAATTGAAAAAGACAAAAAGAAAAAAATTGAACGGATCAAAACTAAAACTCAGCAGTTACATCAGCTTATTTTGCAACACATTTCATTTAAAAATTTGGTCGAACGTAACAGCTGTAATGAAAAATTACACGGTCCACCAAAACCTAATTCGGCAATTCAGTTGCCTTTTATTATATTGAATACTAGCAAAAAGACTGTTGTTGACTGTAGTATCACAAACGACAAGTAATTATAACTCTTATTTATATTTAATTTTAATAACTATTATTAATTATTACATTAATTAATTTATTTTTTATCTTCTAGATCCGAGTACCTGTTCAATTTTAACAATAAATTTGAAATCCATGACGATATCGAAGTTTTAAAACGCATGGGCTTGGCTTTTGGTAATTATATTTTATTATTTAACAAAATTATAAAGTTGTTATTAATTATTAATAAATAATTTTTAATAAACTAGGTTTAGAAAGTGGAAAGTGTGTAGAAGAGAATTTACGGCGGGCTAAATCAATGGTACCTAAGTCACTGGAAAAATATGTCGAACGTAAGTTTTTTATTTATTTTTTTTTTTTTTTATTATAAATAGATAATATTATTTTATAGATGCTATAAAGGCGTATACTGGCAAAAGGTTCCAGTGAAAAGCCATAAGAGCGCATAAAAAAATTTTTTTTTCTCAAAACTAAAAATTTTTTTGAACTTAGAAAAAAAAGACTTTAAATTAAAATAAAATTTACTAATTAATTGGCTAGTTTAAAAAAATTTCTAATCTAAAAATAAAATTACTTTTATATGCATAGATATTTATAAATTTTGAATAGTAATTGTAATGACAATAATAATGATAATAATGAAAATTAAAAACGAATTTATAGAGATGGCTTCAGGCGATTTAGACAAGTTTATCCCCGTTACTATTCCCGGACCAAGTGCACCAATAGAAGACGTGGAAATAAAAATGGAAGGTTCTGGCTCGCGGCCACCATCCTCATCGCACACTTCGTTATCCGGAGAAGCGTCTCCTCCATCACACTACTTTTCGGAAGACGAAGAAGAAGAAGAAGAAATGAGTGAACAAGACGACACAGTTGACAGTGATGTTGATGTTAACTAGCACTCTTAAACTGATGAATTAATTTTCTAATTAACTATTAATAAGAACAGAAAGAAAAAAGATTTCTTGCTTTGCGAAATCTATGGTACCTATTAATTCACACGAACGAAGATCTTATTAGATCATTAAATCCAGATTGAAAATTTAAAATATGTTCTTTACGCTATTATATTTCAATAATAAATATACAGATCAATTACTAGAAACTATATTTTAATTATTAATAGATCTGTTGTATTGTAAATGCCGTGATAATTTGTTACTGCATTAGTTGATGCAAATGTGGCTTGGACATTTTTCCTTTTTATATCATTAGACACGTACTGGATATTTTTTAATATAAATTTATCAATTATCAACGAGATATTTGGAAAGCATCTTATTGGGATAACATTCAATAAAATATTAAAGTTCAGAACGATTTAATTTTATGATAAGTTATTTTTTAGCTCAAATGAATCAGTGAGCTTAAAATTCATTATTGTATTGTAAGTTATTATTTCTTCAGAATGAAAATAATAAACAATAATATTAAGATTTAAGATAAAATTTAATGATAATGATGATTAATAAAAAAACAAAAAAAAATGAGAAAGAGAAAGAAAAAAAAATACAATAAAATAAAAAATAACAATGGCTAATGTGTGGTGGAATAGGGTGGCGCAAAAAAACCGACTTTTTTTTTAATCTCGAGTAAAAAAATGTTAGTTTTTGATGTTTTAAGAGCTCTCTCCAAAGGACAGCTTATAAGAAAATTTTTAAGAGATCGCTCCAAATTTTTTTAAATTTCAAAAATCGAATTTTATCTTTTTTAATTTTTTCTCTCGTTACGTTATAATTTTATAGACCAAAAAAAAGGTTTTCCTAAAAGTTTCAGTTCAAAATGTGAATTTTAAAAGGTCGCTCATAATTTTTTTTTTTTTTTTCAATTTATTGAAAAAAAAATTAAAAAAAAAAATTTCGATTTTTGGAATTTAAAAAAATTTTGAGCGAGCTCTTAAAATTTTTTTTTTTGAGCTGTTTTTTGGAAAGGACTCTTAAAACATCAAAAATTAACATTTTTTCACTCGAGATAAAAAAAAAAATAGGTTTTTTTTGCGCCACCCTAGTGTGGAAGGTGATTGTCATTCGGTGCTAATTTAATCGCGCATCGTATCACAGGTTTATATACCTAGAATGTATGTATTATAAATTATAATCCAATCAATATTATCTTGAGTACATGTATAAAAAAATATAACAATTTCATATGGCACATTTATATTAACATTTTAAAACTGTGGTAAATAACAAATTTATTAAAAGAAAAAAACAACCATTATTATGAAAAGTAATTTCAATTTATAATTCAATCTATTCGATACATTTAATAGTAATATAATTATATATATTAATACTTTATTTCAGATACAATTTTTAGTATTCTTACTAATATTATTATTATTATATTATTAATAGTAATTAATAATAATTATTATTATTAAACAAACTTTCTTTTCATACACATTTGTATAGTTATTATTATTAATTATATTTACTACTAGTATCTTTAATTATTTTTTTCTTTAGTTATTAATTTAGAAAAATGGAATCTTTAAATAAAACAAAAAATACCTGAAGTTTATTGTTATTTTTTTGTTCCATTATTAAACAAAAAATTTATTTTTTTAAATTATGCGAGATCATTATCGTCATACAGGTCATCGAAATCTGAAAGGGTAAATATTTAATTATCATTTAATGTTTTAATAATGATGATGTCAATTAAGATAATTATAATTACCATTAAAAAAATCAGCATGGACAGCTTTTTCATTAGCTGCAAGGTCCATCAGTAGTCCAGTTGATCCACCAGCCTAATTAATCAAAATATAAATAATAAATAAAATGAAATAATCTATTGTTTTAATTGTGACATAACCTAGTGTGTAATGAGTAATGACATTACCTCTTCAAGATCCATGTACGGACCGGCACCTTCAGGGAACATCTCATCAGCAACTTGGGTTGGCTTCATTGTGGTAAATTTGTTTGTTTTAAAAAAAAAATTATTTGTAAAATAAATTTTACAAAAATAATTTAGCGAAAATTTATCACAAATTTACTTGTCACAACTTATTTTATTCTTCCAGCGACAATCCCTCTGGTGAGAATTTGGAGTAACAAGAGAAGTATTTAAATATCCTCCCGGTATATTTTCAGTATTAAGTCACGTGGTGACGCGGATTAGGCTGTCAAATGTAATTTTTGATATTTATTTGGTTATGGTTTTTGTATAATTAAATATTTTTAATTAAATAAAATGAGTGATCGCAAATATTCAGATGTAGATTCATCTGATGATAATGAAGAAGAAGAAAGGTTAGAAGAAAAGAAAAGAAGATCATCTATTTTCCAATCACGTGCTAGTCAACGCCACTTTGGTATGCATTGTTTATGTTGTTTGTTTACAATTAGTAGTAAACTGTAATAATTATTATTAGTAATCTTGCAGTCACTATGAGACTGCCGTGAAATGTGAACTATAAATAAATAAAATTTTGCTTTATTAAATAATGACTCTTGTTAAATAACACTGTATTTTTTTAATTATTGACATTTGTTTAAAATATAAGCTCATTTCGATGTTACACTCTTCAAGAGCTTTCATTTGAGTACCCACATACATTTTTGATATATTTTTAATATATACATATATATAACATATATGAATATATGAAATATATGAAAAATTGATGTGGGTACTCAAATGAAAGGTCTCAATGAGTGTAACATCAGGATGAGTTTATATCTTTAAAAATGTCAATAGTTTATTACAAGATACAAGGTAGTTTCTTAATTATGTTAAATTGCACGGTACTTTCTTAAATATTGACCTTTTTAAAGAAATAAGCTCATCCTGATGTTACACTTATCAAGAGCTTTCATTTGAGTACCCACATGCATTTTTGATATATGTTTCATATATACATATATATAATATATATAAATATATGAAAAATTGATGTGGGTACTCAAATGAAAGGTCTTGACGAGTGTAATGTCAGGGTGAGCTTATATCTTTAAAAATATCAATAGTTTACGAGATACAAGGTCATTTCTTAATTATGTATCTAGAAATAGAGAATTTTTGAATGTAGTTATTAGTAAAAATTTTTAATACATTATTAGTTTTTTTATAATGATTTAAAAAATTGATAGCTGTCAACAAACTAGTATCATTTTTTTTTTTAGATGTTGACTCTCAAGATGAATCAGAAGCTCAAGAAGGTAACGCTCAAGAAGAACCCGACGAGTTTAATTTGGAGGAATATGTTAAATCTTTGAAAGCAGAGTATGAAGAATGGAAAAAAACATTGAAAGAGAGAAAACACCAACGTCGATTACTTGCCAAGCAAGAAGAAGCTCTAAAAAGTGGAGTTGAACTTGACTTCAATGTACTTACGGAATCAGACCGTGAATTTATTCAAGCGCGTCCTAATTATGGAGCGATTTGTGAAAAAATTAATGACCTCGTACCAATAGCTGTAAAAGTCGCTCAAGGAAATATTGAAATAAATCATTTGAATGATAATTTGCAACAATTTCTTGGAGAAAAAATCAAAGAATCAAATATCAAAATAATTGAAAAATATAAACAAATGACAAATGATATTGTTGATAATTTTTAAGTAATAGTTTAAATTATTTTATTATTCTTTATAAATAACGAGATGTAAGATTTATTGAAATAAAGTGACAGCGTGATTTAATTTAATAATGACTAACAACATATTATTCCTATTATAATTATAATATGTATAATAATAATAAGTATTATTATTAGTAATTTATAGTAATAAGTAATTAAAAAATTTAACTTGGCCTAATTTGATTCAGAAACTCTGATATCTTTTATGATTTACATTATTTTATGATCTTTGGAATAATTTAAAAATACATATAGCCAATACTTAGGTCACCTATGAAGATGAAAACTTTTTCGCCTCATTGATTTACGTTCTCTGTGAGCTATAAATTCTTTGCGCGCATTGTTTGATCGTAATTCTAATATATGATTTATTTTTCTAACTATTTCTTCGGCTACCGTTGACTCAGCTTCGAAATCATGGGTTTTGAATGACATTGATTGATGAAGAGATGGTGAACTTAATGATGAAACTGAAAAAAAATTTTTAATGGATATGTATTCATAAAAAAAATTTTTTTTTTTACTGTTTTATGAATAAAAAAAATAAAATATTACCACCTATATTATCAGAAGTCGACGGATTAGTATATACTAAAGTAAATGATGATTTAGATCCTTTAGTTTCGGTAATTTCACACCACGCAATGTTTTCCATTTGATAACTGACACGGTGCTGACGATTCCAAAACCTATAAGCACTTTTGCTCGTTACTAAAGGATCTATTTCTATTTTATCACCTGATATACCAAGATGAATTTCAGTCTTTGCTCTCATTTTATGAAGAACATATACCCTGTAACAAATTTCATCAATATATAAATAACACTTAACTAGTAACTTTGCAGTGACTTGTGAATAATGAATAATAAAAATTTTGCTTCATTAAATAATGAGTTTTGTTTTGTATTTTTAAAAGTGTCAATAGTTCACAAGATATAAGGTCGTTTCTGAATTATGATAAATTGCACTGTACTTTTTTAAATATTGACGTTTTTAAAGGTATAAGCTCATCCCGATGTTACACTCATCAAGAGTTTTCATTTGAGTACCCACATGCATTTTTGATATATTTTTCACATATACATATATGTAATATATATATATATATAAATACTAGCTGTTACCCACCCGCTCCGCTGGGTGCTTTATAGAATTATATTTTTAGATCTAGACTTGATATTTAATTAAAGTATTGTTTTGACTTCCAGAGATTCCAAATTCCATCGAATTGGCCTGTACCTTTTATCCATGTAATTATTCTAGCTAATATTCAATGTAACTTTCAATGAGCAATCATTGTAACATTCCCGTGACTTTCTTACAAAAATAAATAATAATTGACACGAAGAAAAAAATTTGAAATGAGCATTGAAAGTTTTAGTCAACGTAGTTGCAGGTCTCATAAGTGAAGTTAAAATCTGCCTAGCTTAAAGTGCGACAAATTTTACTGTTAATTAAAATTTTCTCCGTGGCATCAATTTTTTTTATATAAAATTTTGTATAGAAAATTAATTGTACATGATCTTTGCGAATTCTATTAAAATAAGTAGCTCAATTTCTATTTCACATATCAAGTGTTTGAAAAATCCATTCATTTTAATTTGTCACTTTTCCGCAATCCCGTAATAAGAACAATTAATTGTTTATGTGATCAGCAAAAATAACATGAATGTAAAATTCTTAGTCCTTTGACTGAATAACTACATGTAATGTTAAGTTTTATAAACCTTACAATGACTTTTTCCCCGCTGCCAAAGAAACGATTGTTGTAAGGAAATTTTTATGAAATGTTATTGAAGTTAATCGATGTCCTAAATTTCATGTCTCAAGAAGTCCTAGTTAATAAACGAAAACATTTTTTTACATTCGACTCACAACTCTGGCACAGCCTATATATAAAGTCAATTATCAATAAATTCATTTTTAATTGAAATCTAATCATTGAGAAAAAAAGATATTTAAATCGGTTGACCTTGGAGGCCAACCCTCTAATTTCCTGTTTCTCTTGAGATTCTTTCAAATTTTATATCTGAATCGTTGATTTGAGAAACTCTATAAGTCATATGAAAATCCCTATGACTTATGGGTTTTCTCAAGTAAACGATTCATCTGTAGAAACTGTATTTGAAGAATATGCATTTTTTGACAATTCATACCCCCGCACTCTTATGTGGGGGAGGAATTTCGTAAGATTCGAGATGATTTCTACTTTATAAATAAAAGATTCCTACTAAACTTCGAGTCCATAGAAACTGATGTTTGGAAATGATAGGTTTTCATTGCTAACGCCCCCGCAATCCCTTTTGGGGCTAGAATTTGATAAAATCCATTCTTAGCTGAACTTAACATCATACACGAAGATTTCTACCAAATTTGGAGTCTGTAGAAATTACAGTTTAGAAACAGAAATTTAACATTTTAACATCCACCCCCGCAATCCTTATTGAGGGTGGGTTTACAGTAAAATCCGCTCTTAGATCACTTCCGCAAAACATATGGAAGACTCAACTAAATTTGCCTTCTGTAGGATCAATCTATAATTTGAAAATTGCAAATTTTTATTGTTAATATCCACCCCTGCAACTCCCTGTGGAGTGAGCTATCGTAAAATTCGTTTATAGATTATTTCTATATTTCTTACAGGAGATTTCTATCAAATTTGAGGTCTATAGGAGCTATAGTTTGAAAACGGGAATTATTCATTGTTAACGCTCCCGCAATCCCCTATGGGGGAGGATTTTTTTGAAATTTTTTTACATACAAACATTCTCCTGACAATGTTGAAGACAACAAAAAATAAATTAGCCCAATCAGTTCAGCCGTTCTCGAATGATGTATGGACATACATGTGGCATTCTATTTTTATTTATATAGATAACAGAAGAAAGACAAAAATTTTACAAATTTTTAACACCCCCACAATCTCATCTGGGGCTAAAATTTTTCGAAATCTGATAGTACAAAACCTTTATTCAACAAATACGAAATTTTTATTAAATTATAAGTCTGTGGGAGTTTTAGTTTAAAATTTTCATTTTTTCTCATTAGCGCCCCTGTAACCGATTTTGGGATTCAAACTTCATTTAATATATTTTTGTTTGTTCTCAACATAGCCCAAAACAATTCTCTTTAAATTTCATGTCTAAAAAAGTTAAAATTAAAAATTTAGTTTTTTATGATTTTTCTAATCATAAACGCCCCCGCTATACACTTCGGAGATTCAACATGGATAAAAAAGTTAGCCTATCCATTAAGTCAATGTATCCTCTACATGGATGCGAAATTTCAACTCAATCGGATGTATAGTTTAATAATTTTAACGGAACAACCGTAAAAAACTCTATAGATTTATATATTAGTATAGATATGAAAAAATGATATGGGTACTCAAATCAAAGGTCTTGATGAGTTTAACATCGGGGTGAGCTTATATCTTTAAAAATGTCAATAATTCACAAGATATCTGTTAAATTGCAGAGTACATTCTTAACTATTGACGATTTTAAAGATATAAGCTCATCCCGACGTTACACTCATCGAGACCTTTCATTTGAGTACCCACATCAATATTTCATATATTTATATACTTTATATATAATATATATAAATATATGAAAAATCGATGTGGGTACTCAAATAAAAGGTATCCATGAGTGTAACATCGGGATGAGCTTATATCTTTAAAAATGTCAATATTTCACAAGATCCAAGATAATTTCTTAATTATGTATCTTGAGATAGAGAATTTTTGAATGCAGCCTAAATAGTTATCATCACAAATTGACTATCGGTGAGAATAATATAAAATTTTAAAAATGCACAAATTCAAAACAAGACCTTAGCAATGACACTAAATTTTTCTTATTCTCAACAATATAGATTATTTTTCAGTCACCGCAATAAATAATGAGTAGGCGAAATTTTATACCTATATAATTGATACAGCGGAGCCTCAATAGCTGTAGTATGACCTTTCATTCTCGCTAAATCTTGGGCGAAAATTTCTTGTTCTTTTTCAGTTGCCTCTCTAATTTCACCAGTACTCACAGGAAGAACGGGTCCAGTTGGCTCATGACGTTGTCGATCACTCAGACGCATTTCCACTAATCCCAAAGCGGAAAATTCAAATTTACCTATTTTTTCTCTCGGGTCTAGACAAGGAAAGTCCCCATCTACTTCTCCATCATCTTCAGCTATATACAAGCCATACTTATTTATTTCTTTTCTATAAAATAAAATTCATTTAATTACTCCAATTACCAATCAAAAATTTATATTCAAATAATTAAAAAATCCTTACATTAAATTATGGTTAGGATTTTCTGTAGCATACTTATAACATATTAAACCGATAAATTCTTCAACCGTTGCAGAGCAAATCACAGTAACTTGCATTGGATAAACTCGCTCTTCTTTCGGAAGTATACACATAAATATACGATACTTACGCACTGGTACTCCAACTAAACCCTAAAAAAAAACGAAAATTAATAATAAAAAAGCAGACGCCTAACTATTGACTAAAAAAAAAAAAACTTACACTGCCATCGAATTTAGCGTATTCTATAAAACGATTAACAGGAATATATGGACATTTAACTAATTGTTCAGACAATAATGACTGTCTTTTAACATTACTGTTATTTTTTTTACGAAAATCTTTTTGCTGAAACAACTCAGCAATTTCTTCTTTAGTCAAACGTACAGATCTTGACTCCCACTTTATATGTTTAACTCTAGCAGCTTTTTTACGCTCAAGCTCCATTTTTTCAAGCTTCTGAGCAGTATTTGATCTTGGTCTGTGACCAAAACTCATATCTAAAATTAAAAAAGGGCCCAACTAGTAACAAGTGTAATAATCAGTAAATAATAATGGTAAATAAATATAATCACCCATTTGTATATCGTATGACTCAGACAAAGCATCAAGATCTTCATCATCGCTCTCTTCAAATCCTAGATAACACTGAGCACCGTTGGCTTTTAATTGCTTTGGTATATCTTCTCTCGGCATTACAGCTTCACACATACCTATGCAATAAATATTAACTGTATTTTTTCAGTACTATTGTTGATAAAACTATAATAACAATAAAAAGTTTTAGGTTGGATTATGAGTCGCAATACAAACCAGTGTCATCTGTAGAAATAAAACTGTCACGGATGTATGAAAGAAGCCAATGTTTATTGTCGTACAAGGCCATGGTTATTTTGCCTCGACGATTTTATTAAGTTTAAATCATTTCTTGTTTTTTTCACATTTATTCAATTATTTATTTATGTAATTATATTCAGTTTGCCGCCCGCTATTTCGTTAGCATTTCACACACGCAAACTTGCTAACTCACAGACACTCGGATTACCATAAAAAATCCCCTTCCAAGTAGTGTATGCAATCTCAATCGATAACTCTTCTGTCAACGGGGTTTTTTTTATCAACCACTAGATGGCGATGATGATTAATTAAAACTTTTTGAAATTTATCACGCGTGCGCTGTTATTAAAAATCATTTTAAATTAAAATTATTTTAAAGAATTAATTTTAACAATAATATATAAAAAAAAAAAAAAATTAAAATCATCATTATTAATCTTTTACGGTTTGTAAAGGGTTTATAAAAGTGATATATGACACTGAAGTTAATTTAAAATTTTTTTTTAACAAATCAATTACAATAAAAAAATTTTTCTAAAAATTTTCACTTATAATTTTTATTAATTTTCACATGTGGAATTTTTTAATCACATTTTTTTAATAATAATTTAATTGCTATAAAATTCTAAAAAAAATTTCAATGCCTGTCAACTTCAGTGTCATAAATTTAATTAAAAAATTCCAAATTTGAAAATTAAAAAAAAATTATTAGTTGAAATTTTTATAAGCATTTTTTTATTTCATAAGAATTCAAAAATTTGACAGCTGTCAGTTAACTTCAGTATCACAAGCAATAATTAAATTAATTATAATTTATTTTTACTTGCTTGTCATATTATCCTTCAAATTAATTTGATATATTTTTATAAATCCTTGTCATTAATTTAATTAATTTCTCCTGACAAATCAATTTTCAGAAAAGTTAAGTTCACCAGCGCCATTTTTATTGTAAAGTGGCGCCAAAGTGGTAGATTTAAAAGCTCTAAAATTTAAATGCTCCCGAGCTGCGGACATGAGCAATCAGTTCTCGACAGGACTTTATCCGAGCAGGATCTCACGGTGCTAAAAAAAAAATAGATACTACAAAAAATCCTTATTTCTTCTTTTATAAAAATAAACAGTCAGTTATAAAAAATCATAGATAGTAAAAAATAAAAATAATATTAAAAGCCACATGTGACAATGGCAATCATCATCAGGAATCCAGTGTTGATATTAATAACCTTTACCTGGACCTTACCTAACATTACTCGGCACAACATTTTCTCCACAACGTAGATGTAAACATTGGCGCCAAGGTGTAGGCGCCGTTACATGAACTTTAAAAATCTAAACTAGATAAATTTTTGCACTAAAAAATTAACAAAATTAATCTAATAATTTACATGGAGACGGATTATGTTGACGAAGCTCAGCGACGGCTGGAAAATATTCTCCGACGTGCTCGACATTTACGTTTACCAACGCGGGAAATCTTGACAACACGTCCGGCGAAGAAACTCCTGACACGTACGAAAAATGCCCATGCTTGGGTGGTTTTTCTTGGAACTTTTTTAATACTTTTAAGTGGACTTATTTATTTACGTTGGACGACTCCGGATGGAGATACTATCCGTACAGTTATCAGGAAACCAGTAAGTCTATAAATCTCTTCTTCTATTTTCTTCATTTTTTCCATTACATAATGTTGTATTTTTTTTTAGAGTAAAAAAGTTCCATTTTTTTTTCGTTCCGGCACTTAAATGTAATCAATTAAAGTCTTTGAGTTATAAAAGGTTGAAATTAACCCAGCGAGCGTGTTCGATAAATTTTAGTAGCATACTATGAAACTTAGTGTACTTTGATAAGTTTAATTGAGGGAGACTAATCTCTCATTTAGCCTCGTGGGAGGAAATCACTTTGGGCTGTAGCGGTCACCGGTAGTGAGCGGACCCTTCTCGTGGTCAATGTCACTGACAGTTAGTAATTGCTTTCACAATTTTATCACCATTATTTAATTATTGAATTTTAATTAAAATTTCGATAATAATTATGGCCATCGATTTATCATAGGTACCTATCGTGTATGAAAGTGTACCAGTTGAGTATCCACTCGAGCGAGCGAGCCAATAAACTTTCAATGAATAGCTTCTTTAAATACCTCGAATAACTTTTCTGATCGGAATAACTTTTAATTATCTTGCTGAATTATTTCATATTGAAATTTTTATGTTTTATTAATTAAAACTAGCAACCTTGCAGTTACTATGTGACTGCCGTGACGGTGAACTATAAATAGATAAACTTTTGCTTTATTAAATAATGACGTTTGTTAAATTGCACTGTACTTTCTTAAATATTGACGTTTTTAAAGATATAAGCTCATCCCGATGTTACACTCAG